GTAATTGTTTAATCTCATTGACTTTAATTGAAAGTTAAATGAGTTTTTAAATTAATAAAGAAAACTTTGTATGTTTATATGTATTTATAGACATCTCATAAGTAGGTATCTCTCTAAAAGAAAAAATAATATGACCCCTACAACTTATTACATTTTCCATACACATTCATAATATGCCATCATCATCGCCATGGTTTTACAGGAAACCACGCCTGTCATATGCATGCAGTTTGTGTTCCCTTTTGTTTTCATTTCTGTTTTCATTTTTTACTCGGTATTCATTTAACTCAATTCAATTAAATGTCCGCAAGAGCGTCGTAAGAACATTTGGCGCTTTTGTGCGGAGCCCTCCAAACGAGTAGGGAACATTATTCTATTTTTTAGCTTCTGTGCGTTACTTGCGTTTTTTTTTCTAAATTAATTCATTGCATTCATTTGTTGATTGCTTTACAATGCAAAACAATAAATTTTGAAATGAAATGCAAATTATATCCATTTAATTTAAAAAATTGCAAAAACGTTTATCTTAAAGACGACCGAAAAGTGTAAGCGTTTCATAATGAATGAATGAATGTGTTCTTTATAAAATTTATTCGATTCATTAGAAATATTTATCAGTTGATTAAATACATTTCAAGCAGTTTATTGCGTAATCTCAGCCACACTAAAATAAAAAAATAGATACGCATTTTTCTTAAGGGCAACGGAGCTTACTCTTTGCCTAAGAGGTAATAATAATGTAATAATTAGTCAAATTAAATCAACCGACATGACACATTTGTACAAAAAAAGACTTGATTTTGTTGAAACTGTCTGCTAATGAAAATACGAACAATTTTTAAAGTTGGCTGGCATGTATTTCAAAGTAAATAAATTGATAACAATATTAATAACAAACGCCAATGATTACCAAACATTCAAACACTAACGCAGAGCATAATCCCATGTATAATGTGATTATTAATGATGACGAAATTGCCTTGCAGCTGTTTATGCTAAAATATGCCACATTACTAGTCAATCTAGTCAGTTCATATCATGTTCCACTCAACCCAAACTTATTGGATTTTCTCTTCAATTGTAGCAAGTACAAGTCCGCATCCGTCTTCCTTTAAAGTCTATGTATTTCTGCATGGCTTAGCTTTTCACGTCTGTTGTATGCTACTAGAAAGCTCTCGACTCCAAGAGTTCAGCAAGGATACTCAAAGTTGATATACGTATTCCTAAGCCTTGGATGAGGACAAAATATCAATTTGGACATAATCTGTCTACGATTGCGCTCACGTTAAGGAGTGCACTTCGCAACAAGTATTAGTTTGAAATTTTGAAAAACTTCGCTAAAATTGAACGTAAAAATGAACCTGATCTTTCTACAAGATTACTCATAAAACTTAAATATTTTCCCTTGCCCTCACAGCAACTGATTCAATAGACGACATTAGACTGGATGGTCAAATACATATGTGTAACTTTTATGTATTGATATGAAGTTTCTTTCTTTATCTCCGAAGTTTCCTTAAAGGTTAAGGCCCCTGTAAGAGCCTTAAAAAAAGAGATCTTTTGATTATTTTTTTTTTGGGATAGAAAGAAAGGTAATATTAGGAGGTTGCGTTAATTTTGGTAATTTTTTCAACTGAAAGAAGCATTAATTGTGGAATATTGGTACAATAAATCAAAATAGTTTCCATTATTTTCTACAACATCAATACAACAATATTTTTGGCAACATGGCGATATTACGTCGAAATAACTTATATTGGTATGGCAGCAACCCACTCACCGGCCTACTTTCGCACTTGTTCAACTTTGCGGAACCGCGTGCCAGCTAAGCCATGCTGCACGGATCTGAACAAGTTGTGATCACGCGGAGCCATCTGTGGTGAGTACGCTGGATGTGGCAGAACTTCCCATTCGAGCTGCAACAGTGTATCTTGGACAACTCTGGCAGCAAGTGGCCGAAAAATGCCATCTTATGGCAATTCCTGTCGTCACTTTTAAAACGTTGGAACTGTTGGAACCGTTGGAAAACTAACAATGGGACAATGGGATATGCTGTGATGGAGCGGCATCACCATAAGCCTTTGAAAGTGTTTGGTGAGCTTTGACACCAGAATTCCCCGAATAAACAGAAAAAGTAATGAATTCGGCAAAATATGAATTTTGAGCGCTCCTTGGTTAGCGTCGGTGCACGCCGAATAAGTCGCTAATATTAAAGCGAAAACTGTTATTTTCTGTACAGAAAGGTCGAAAATCGTATTTGACTGCTACAAACACTGGTATTTCCTACTTCTCTATTGCTATGCTATTTTAAAGATATTACAAAATATTCTAACCCAAAAAATGAATATTGTTTGAGTTATTTCGCGATTTTCAAGAATTGTACTTTAGATAAACACAGTTAACACTTCATGTGCCCGTACATTGGCATACAATTTCGTTCAAAAAGCAAACTTAGTTGACCATTTAAAATCTTGTCACGTCTACAATTGTCTTTTTATGTCCATTTTTGTCCATGTTTAACTTTATCATTTAAGGGATTATTTAAGCCACTAAAACAAAAGATTTTTTAAAAAGTCTACAGTGGTCAGAAAGAAAAGAAAATGCCGAGAAAGAGATGTGGAGTATGGCCGCAGCCTATTATCGATCGATAAGTGTTGTGCCGACCAAGCGCTCTTATCACACTATATATGCGAGCAAGCATTATCAAACTCGACTGAGAAACTGACTTGGTAGAAGCGACTCGGCCATCCGAAGGTCCATTTCGCCTGCTTGGTTCTTTCCGAAGCATGCTCACCCACTCCAAAACACGTCTACCCAGTTTTGTAATCCATCCTTGTTAAGCGAACATTTACCAGAAAAATCATAAAGAACCAAATTGTTAGTCTCGAACCATTTTGCCCAAATTTCTTTTAAAGAAAATTTAATTAAATTAACTTTTATTAAAATAACAGGTAAGACCATCAGAGTCGAGCAAGGTAAAGTATCTAATGGTCGGCTTTGCCCATCTATGCCCTTTTCGTTCTTCGCTTACCAAAAATTATGCATTATTTTAATGTGAAAACATACTTTCATGACATTTCTCACCTTTAACAATGCTCAGAACGAATGCTCACGTTGCCTAAATATGAACTTAGTTTACTTCTCAAAGATTTTGTTATATTCCATTTGCTTCTGTCGTAAAATCCCACAAGTTAGACTTTGTCGCCGCAGAAAGGATTGTTTTTCATGAAAGCTTCCATATATTTGGGAGGGTCTAAAAACTACACCTGTTTGATCCAAATTTTCCACATTTCATTTTTACACTACGTTGCTACTATGGATCAGTTTTCATTAAAAAATATATGAAATTAGGCGCTTTTATCATGTAACTTTGAACAAATTAATTTTTATATATATTACATATATATTAATCATAAAATATCCAAAAATTGGCATTTTTACACTATAAAGGGTTATTGTGTATTGTGTGTGCTGGGGTCCAAATTCGGTCAAGCTAGGGTTTATATCAAATCATTATATCAAGGAAGTTTCGTTAAGAAATATTGAAAATTATAACTTTTTATATAAAGATTGACTTTAGTAGGAACTGTTATAATATATATATATATATATATATTCAAAAAATTTTTTCCAATTTTTTCACATTACTGTACAACACCGAAATGCTATTACTTAGCGCAATGATTTTTCGGTCGAGTGGTCGAAAAGGTAGCTCGATCAGAACGATTTTTAAAAGAGTCCGTCGTTAGGCCGAGAACCGTTGGGTTTTCGAAACTTTACGAGAATAATTGAAAAATGTAGTCTATACATTGAAACAAACAGTATATGGACAGACATCAGACGTATGGATGCAAGGACAAGTTTTGATCAATTCAGAAAGTGATTCGGAGTAGATTGGTACATCAAAAAGTGGGTTGACCGTAAATTGTCCTTGACGTTGTGTACTTACATTCATTCGCACAGGCATATAAGTTTATATCGCGGTTCAATCGTATGCGACATCTGCTAAGTATAAACCAATTTTGGATGAAACTTTTATCGCCTTAAAATGGCTTCAAAATTAATGCAAATTCGAAGAGAGACTCACGAATGACAATACGTGGCCATTGTCGTTTTCGGAAAAATATAGGAGTCATAGACTTCAACAAATTGTTCAATTGTAATTAGCAATCAATTACAATCAATCAATTTTTTGATACTAAAGACAACAGAAGCATCAAGCAATAATAACTAAAAAGAAGCTTATACTCTTTACCATAATAAAAAAGCAGCAGACATTTCATACGTAAACATGATGTTACTTAACGGCTCATTTAACTGCATAGTAATGTGAAAAAAGAATAAGAACAAAATGCCAAAAATGACATTTTGACGCCATCTATAATGACGAAATGTGAAACGAACTATAGGTATTCATCTTCTTTGTTCTCTTTTTTGCCGTGTTTTTATCTAACGAAATGGTTGTAAAGTTAAAGACGATTCTTCATCTCTATTATCTGCAACAAAACAGGAAATACGTACCAAAGCAATTTAAGGGCGTTTTCTTTTATTATAACATAAACTTGATAATTGTAATTTTGTAACATTTTTAGTATGAAAAAAAACACAGTTTTTAAGATAATTATTTTTGCATATTTAATTAATAAATTCTTGCAAATTGTCTAGAGGTTTGTTAACTCGATAATAAATAACCAAATATGTGAGGTCGTCTTTTTGGTGTAAATTTTCAATTTACTCAAATATTTGCTATGTGAATGTGTTCATACACATTTTCGATTTGATTTCAATAATTTATAACAAACTTAAAATAAGTCTTTTAGAGTTTGCCATCAATCACTAAATGTGCTTTTCTTTTGAAAACTGATATTATTACATCTTTGATGTGCATTGGGATATTTTATGCCCATTGACGGAAGAATTAAAGTACTCAATCCTTTTGTAACAACATCGAAAATCTTAACGTTAATATGTTTGATGTCAACTTATTGAGCCCACTAAAGTATTTCTAGTAGAAAATTGGCAGAGTTCCGGCAAGAATTAAAACTCTTAAAATACTTCTTCGTTTTGTTTCATCTATACATCCTTAACGAAATGCGCGTTAACTTCAAACGAAGTGTATTTCAAGAAAGTACCTACATTGATGCTAACGTTGTGTTGGAACCCCTTCTACGCAATTGTTACTTTTATTATTATTCTTGCTAAAGTCTTAATTTAGTGGAACTTTAGTAAAGCGTCGATCAGTATAGAATAGAATAGAAAAGAATAGAAAATGGAATAGAAAAGCAAGATAGGTCGATAATATGTGCTTTTTCTTGTCATTTATAGATTATCCGGTATTTCACCTATTGAAAGAAATCAATCAATGCGAATGCCATCTGTCGAAATTCAAGTATGATGTGAATAAAAGATAAGAAATGCCATTTAAATATTTAGACTATGATTTCATAGTATGAAGCGCAGACGGCCCATATCGGTCAGCTAACTGCTACAAATTAATAAGATAGAGAAGATTTCTGCATTACCGTTTTGCACTCTCATTGAGGCTTGCATGTACCACATAAGCAAAAAGCTCAATTTTGGCTCAATGTTGGCTGCTTCGCCAATCCACGTCAGAAATAGAGCATGCCAAAATAACATTGAACAGTTCAAAACTGCTGTATTTTTCAAGATGGAGTTCGCAAAATTGTCAAATTTTCCCTTTCAATTTAATAGGCTGAAATACTTATACTCAGCAATTTTTATCGAGAAACATTTATGAATTGGAATTTTTTCTCATAAGTAGAACAATGCGTTATTAGGAAGTGGTCGCAAAAATCGCCAAATCCCATCCATTTCTAATGGTGTTTGTCCTTTAGCGAAAACATGTCACTACGCAAGATTTTATCGAAATTTACCAAACATTGCGATTACTAGATTGAGTCATGGGCAGACATCTAATATACGGGCAAAAACACGAACAAATGGAGAGCTTAAATCTTCTGCCCTTCTAGGCAAAAAGTTAATATACATCCTACATCAGAAGCGGTGTGTAGACTCAAAATTCGAGGAACATGTGTGCACTCTACAAAAGTACGGCAATGTCAACTTGTGTATAACTATAACTCATTTTCTTCTTCCTTCAGGTAGTTATCAAGAGTATTACTCTCCCTTAATTCAACAAATTCAACTATGGCGGTCTATTGCTGACATTCCAAAGAACCCAAAAGTACAGATAAAGAAACAGATAAGTTCTTACTGGTTTGTAGCTGGATTTTGATATGTAATATGTAAGTATAGGAAACATGGTGAAAACTTCAAAACATCATATTAGATGAAAATAGCTTCGATTAATTCACTATAGCGTCTTCTAAATATGCAGATATATATTTCATTTTCTTTATTCGCTCCTAACCCACGTTTCTCAAGTTTCAACCTCAATTTTACGGACTTTAAGAATGACGATATAATTTTTGAATATATATGAAAGACTTAGCACTTTTCCTTCTTTAATGCTTATAACATAAGATTTTTAACAATAAATTGTCAGAATTCTTCTAAGCTGGGAATACTATAATCTATACCTCTCTGCCTTCCCCTCTCTCTTCGGCGAGGCTAAATAGAGTGTCACTATTCTAGGATTTCTTAATTAGTATCCAAAATTTTTTATTTTTACTTATGAAAAAAGGTTAACAATATTAGAACAACAATAACAAAGACCAGAAAGATTTGTAAATACGTCTCTCCGATATTGAAAAATATATATTGCTTTTTCAAACAATTAAGTGTACAAAGAAATTGTTGAATTTACTTTTGTAAGTGAACAGCTGCAAATTTTACCAATATTTTTTGCGCTAATCCTCGCAGGTTATGAGGTCATAAAATTTACAATTTAAAGGAAATTCAGTTTTTGAATTCAGGGTTTTACCGAAATTGCGTTAGATAAACAAATTTATGAGTATTTATATATGCATGTACATATAACATATTAGGCTGAAAGGCTTTATATATCCTGGGACGGCAAAGAAACGAAGTCACTTTATCATTGTTAAGCGAACAGTAACATTAAACACATCAATAGTGAAAGAAAAAATTAATTAAAACATCAAAAATGACTCTTGATACTACGTTTGCCAATATGTCTCAACCACGTATACTATCGACATTTCGCGTGAGCACAAAGTATTTCACGCCTGAGGATCTTGAACTCTACGTCGAAAGTAATGAAATCTTGCAACGCTTAGAACGTAAAAAACAAGAACGAAAGGAGATAAAACGTGCTGCTAAAGCTATTTATAACAATTCGATAAGACACTACAATACTCTAGCGCACATTAATGGATTAGCAGAAAGTTCTTTTGCACTGTCAATTAATGAATCCATAGATGAGCCTCTATTGATAATGGAAAATAGAAAAGTACCTTCGACACCTGATAAAGCCGAATTTGATGAAAGCTATTTTTCTTGGCCAAGCAGCAGACAAAGTACACCACGTCATATGCCTAAGTGCGATTTTAGCAAGCAACATCCGAAACTCTGCACTCCTTTGTCACAAAGTTTCGTAAACTTAACCTTGAACTCATCGGAATCCGGAGTCTTTGCTAATGACAATGCACGGTGTAAGACTTTACCTATGCGCCAAAAAGGAGAACCAATTAAAAAATCACCATCGGTTGCTTTATCTTCACCTCTTAAACGCTGGTTACCCAGAACGAAAAATTCTGTTAAATTGCTTTCATGTAGAGTTATAGATGAATACGAAAACTTAAAAATCTACGAAGAGGAAAAACAACGTAATAACAACTCCAATGTTTTTAATGAACCAGCAAAAAAAATTAATTTGAAAAAATTCGCAACTTTAATTAGGACGAAGTCGAAAAAAAACTGCGTCTACGCTATCCAGAAAAAAAGTGTCGTGGATAATTCCTTTAACTACTTGAGTTTATAATATCGCAATGCGATCGACAATAAATTCGAAGTTCCTTAATCTACCTCCAATATGTAAAATGTAAAAATGCTAATTAATGTTTATTTTAATATTTTCTGAAATTGATTTTTAATAAATATTTTTATCACAAAAATGAATCAATTTATCTTTTTTATTTCACGATAAGATTTCATTAGAAAACGTAGCATTTAAGGGGTCGAGGGATTTTTCGTTACATGGAATTTGTTCCTTCGGTACGCTGAATAAAACCAAATTTTTTTACCGAAGTCAGGGTAAGAGAATAAAAAAGTGTTGTCTTGTATGGAAGGAAAGGTAATAGATTAATAAGATCTGCGTAATTGTTAATATTTAAACATCCAAAATAATGCTAGTTGTGAAAAATATCAAAAGATTGCAGCATCAAGCGAGTCAAGGATGGCTCTTTCTTTAACTGACTCTGCCACTTGTATCGAAAAAAAAAGAAATTTAATCTATATAAATACAACGAGTCTAGTAAGTAGGTAGAGTTTTTAGAAATATTGATTTTCTGTGATTTTCTAAAAGTATTTCGATGAAAAATTAAAATTTCCGAGCAGAAAAGTCCATATTTTGCTTATGGATAGCGTTTAAGTTAAGTTATTGAAATTCCCTTAGGTATTTATAGTTAAAACTTTATTTTACGAATATTACAAAATTCCAATGGAAATCGTTAGAATTGGTGGTTTGCCCTTTTTAAAGACTGGATTTCGACATAACGACTTTTGAAACCTGCTGTAGACATATTTTTTTGCTATAATAAATTTTTGTTGTTATCAAGACTTTATTATCCTTTAAATACAAAATTGTCCTTTCTCGGTCATTCCCTTTTCTTGTGGCTGTACCTCCCGACCGGATTTAATTTTCTTATTTATTTTCTTATTTGCTCTCTTTTGTGTGGAAAACGGATATGTCTGCGACTTACGTTGTAGTAGGCCTGCACTTTGACCGATTTGGACCGTTTTCAGTGGCGACATAGGTGCAACTACTTCCAATATTTCTGCCGAATTTGAACTCAGTAACTTCATTTTCATGCCCAGTATGTTTATGGAAACGTTAACCGGACGCATGGACGGATGTGGTTATATCGATTCAGAACTTGGTGCTGATCAGCGTTATGTATACTTTGTAAAATCTTTGGGGCTTTCTTCTGAATGTTGCAAACGTCTCAAATAAAAAATTAGAAAATGAAATTATTCTTTATAAACCCATAAAAAAAAAGACTTGAAGGTATGAAATTTAATATGAAAGAGAAAGCAAAATTTTTAAATTATCGATTTTTCTAAAACAAAACACTAATATTTTTTTGCGTAGACTAAGACTTTTTAAAACCTTTTTCCTAGTTATGTAAAATAAAAAAATTATATTGAACTTCATTTCCAACCTTCAATGTTGATAGTAAACAGAATCAGGTATATAATAAATTTTACATCGCTTTACATCCTCGTCCGATTAGGAAATCGTGGTTGCGTCGTAGCTTAACCCTTAAAATATTTTTTGAAAATGGAAATATTTCTAAAAATTTTTTATAAAATATTGTAAATTGTCCGTAGAACCAGAATCCGAATACCCATTGTTCTTTGAAGTAGTCGTATAGCCGCAACTATCTGTCTTGAACAAGCTACAATAGAACATTTCTCTAAGAAAATTAATGATGGGGGGTTAGGTTAATTTTATCGTGCATTTATCGTAACAAAAAGTTTCTTGTTTGACTCAGCTTTTTCAGTTCATATCCAGTATTCATCAACAAAATTTCGAGAATGTCCATGTTCGTTTTCATATGTGCTTGCTTAATTCCTGGAACTGCGATATTTTCACTAATTCATATAAAAACTTCATAAGCAATGGGAGTTGCATTTTAAAATATCTTTTTTATACTTGTTATATGGATATAGACTTAGAACATGCCAATCCTTATGATGGCCAATTTCAAATTTACGAAGAAATATCATATACACATGCAAGTATTTATAGATATTAAATTAAAAAAAAAAAAAGATTTACACCTTATATTTTTAGTTAATAGGGTTAACTTTCTGGTCTTTTTACCTATGCTGTGTCGATGGGAGGTAGTACATTTGTTAATTTTTTTGCTAATTTCCTTGATTTAATTTTGGGAAAAGTTTTCATTTTCATGAAATAAGCTGACAGATAAAATATGCTGACGGAATTTACCCATCTCAAAAACTTTATTTACCGTCTGAGAGGGAGAAGTTTGCAACAGTTCACTTAAACTTAATTAAGCAATGGTATATTATGACTTTATCGAAGGGAAATAGCAAAATTTTGAAAGTATCTCACACAGCACACCGATAAAATATTTCGCGTCAGCACTGAACACGTGCACAATTCGATACTCGGGCCATCTGAGCACACCAAGTTGGGACGTGCCAGCAAAACTAATTACAACTCGTTCAACTGCTCTGCCCGTCAAATACATAAAATGGGTTATCGTTTCTCGAGAATACTTTTGCCCCCTCAGATTGCTTGTGCAGATGAACCGATTTTGATGATGACATTAAAAAAGTAGTTTTCTCTTATCAAATTCTAATTAAAGTTCACCGAGTTGTCTGCTTTTATGTACACATAGACATGCGCCCACCATAATCTTAAGGGGCTCCGGTCTTAGTTTTATCGGAATTGGCTATACTCTCCTGGTTGGTTCCGGATTGCCAATACTTTGTTCGACGAGATCTGGAACTTTTTGCCGAGAGTAATGAAACTCTTGAAAGTTTGAAACGGCAATCATGTGACTAAAGGAACGTAAAACATGCAATCATAATTATTTACAAAAATTCAGTAAAAAGCCCTATGTCTCGTGAACGTGAATGCAAAATTTCTTTGAAAGAAATGTTGTTTAAAAAGCGCGACGATGTCTACGCGGTTCGATCGTGTTTTTGAATTGGTACATTCGGAAAATTAAGATTAGGATACAGTTTATTCTGCGCTTGGCAAAAGGAAGTTTTCAAATAAATACTCAAACACTAATATATATATAACCCCATCAAGTAAAAACAATGATAATCCCACACTCGAATGAATCTTTGATATGAATGTACCACTTAATAATATTTTTTTAAACGTGAGAGTATCAGTGAACTATATATATATATATATATTTATACAATAAACCAATTTATTATAATACCATAAAGCAATGTATATGATGGATGCATAAAACCAAATTGTTTGTTTGATAGGTACCAAAAAGACCATGAATTTATCGAAGCGTTTCAAATAAAAATTTTTGCGTTTCAGTTTGGTGGTGCGTTTATGTTGAACTATGATTAACCGTTTTTTTATACATTATTCCACATTTAATTACCGATTGACGATTTTCACATACTTATCTCAGCCAACGATTATTTAACTCTCGCTCATAAGTCTACGCAGCTTCCTATTTCGTTTTCTTTTCTCTTCTTTTACTTTTCTATATCTTCGCACACACAAACGCATCGACCTCATCAAAATGTAGAAAATAAAGTTTTAAGTATTTCGTTTATGTGTGACATTGGCTTGACACTTGTTGAATTGAGATGATTTATGGAATCCGGTGTGGTACACTTGTTTCCGCAGCGTATCACGCGACTAACGATTATTTGTAAGCAGGCGGTCTCATTATATGAACCACAATGTACCAGACAATTGTCGTAAGTGTCAAGTAATGAAAATAAATGCATAAAGGAAATGACAAATGTGGGTCACATTTAATAAAAATAATAAAGAAAGATTTAATAATAATTTAAAATAGACTATTATTGATAAGATTTAATTTATAATACCGTAGGTTTAGGACATAAGTATTAAAAATCTTTTGGACGACTACTATGGCCTTAGTTTTATTGAGTACCCCTGATCCACGAAATATGACTCAATTGGCAGTATATTTTGGCTGGCACTATCCAATCTCCACAAAAGAATTGCTTACATTTGTATACATAAAGCAGTTTTAGATAATCAAATGATTATTCTTTTATTAAATCTGTCAATTTGGAATCACACAGAAGGCACACATGTTTATTATTAGCGTAAAATCATGAATCGATTTAATGCAACGTGTTTTTCTGACCCTGGCTTCTTGTGGTAGTTAAATAAAAATTTGCAACTTATCACATGACAGCAGAAAACAGTGGCATTTTTAACTTAAAAAATTGGGAGAAAAATTGTAAATAAACAGAGCTGATTACAGACGTTCAAAATAAGGAACTAATAACTTATAACTTCTTTTAGATATTGATGACAACTGTAAAAGGTTGTCAAAAACGTTTACACTTATTGTAAGAATGCCCGTCCGTCTGTCTTTGTAATGCCTGTTGTAAATATTCTTCTGCCGCAAAAGTGAAGCTATCGCCTTAAAATTTGCCTGAAACATTGGATGTAAAGGCTTCGGTCACAACTCGTTATATATTTTCTCGCTTGTATTCAAAATAAAGTGAAATTTCCACTTATTTTTTGAACGTCCCGGAATATTCTATTGGACTATATTTCGACGCTTGTATTAAGATTAAGGTAAAGTGAATGTAATTCCTATGATTAGCTTAAGTTTTCCGCATTGTTCATGTTATAAATTCAACATTTTCACTTGGCACTCTCAGCCTAAATTCGAAAACACCATACCAGAAAAGAAAAAAAAAAACGAAAATATAAAAATAGTAATGCATACCTTACTGCAGATAGAAACGTAAATCTGCATACTTGCTTCGTACGAATGGCTCAAGTATGTTCTTACTTTTGAGTAAGTCGCAACCTAGAACACATGAAACGCGAACATCATTTTTTCAAATTGTGTTATTGATAATACGCTAATCTGTAGATAATATGTAGCTTAGAATATTATTTATTCAATGCGAGCTGAGAACTAGTGAAATGTATCAACCATTCGATTGCTGTGCTTCGTGAAAACATACATAATTGCAACGCGAATACTCTATAAGTCAACTTAAGACCTAGTTTTTAATAGAGGATTTGCTATCATCGTAAGCATAAAAAAACGTAATTTCTCTGCTGATTTACTCCCTTGGCTTAAGTGCAAAGAATTCATGTAAAGTATGGTTCT